ACTCTTGTTGTGGGTTGTGCATGTAGTTTAACCCTAAAAGGGGCCGATTTATTTTGACCATCTCACAGCACGGGGGGGGCCTTCAGATCTCGGCCATTAAGTGACGAAAAATGATGAAACTCGGTGCATGCATAGAACAACTTAATTTGAACATACCCAAGAAATTTCATGACTATAGATTAAAGGGTTTTGGAATTATCGGCTAATTAATCATTCATATGCACCAATGGTAATTCTGCCTTGTGTACACTACAATAATTATGGGGAAATTAAGTTTTCACGGCGCGCAGCGCCGAAAACAATTTCGCTGCGCGGTAACCCAAGGTCGGAATTTTGTGTTTTTGGTATCAAAAGATGCGCAAGACTCAAGGCTAAAAAGTCAGGAAAGCTCGGGTCGGGAAAAAAAATTGCAATGGTATCGTGGAAAAAGTTGAGGAGGGGGGGGGGGTTGGATTTCGCCCCCGGCCCTTTTAAGGTTAAGCATCACATTCGTTTAGTTTCATATTGTGAAACTTAAGTGCATTTCCAACGGTCTGCATTTCCAACGGAGATCGGAACAGAATTGCGTGTGTTTCGGGGGCTCGGTATTCAAAAGCACTGTGCATTTTTAAAGATGTTAGAAAACTTACGACTTATTCTAGATGTTTTGCCAACATGACAACGTTATAGTTTGCACAGAACGTCATAATTCGTGGTCGTTACAACGAAATGTGTTTATACGTCGGTGAAGGGCAAACACCCAATATTGATTTACATCACAGTTTAATTGCGGTGCCCGCTGCTACATGTAAATCCGATTCGAACCAGCCAACCGATCCCGCAAGCTCGGTGGTCGAGTTGTAAGACGTCTGCACTAGAAAGCAAGAGGTCTTGGGTTCGAGTCCCACCCAAGTGATTTTTTTCCAACTTTCACTCGGGGGGGGGGGGGGGTAACACACTGAGTATACAGTATTTATACGTCGGTGAAGGGCAAAAACCTAATATTGAAACAAACAAATGATGTTTCTGTTAAAAAAACGGGCGTCTGGTCTGAGTGTTTCCAAGTTTCATCATAGCGGCGCAAACAGCTAAAATTGACAGCACACACGGCACAAACATGCACCGGTCGCCGCTGCGCTGCCGTATCACAAGAAAAAGACCTCCTGCTAAGTTACATGCCAGCGAAGTTGATTTCAGCAACTGTATCGAGTTCGATCAGATCACCCACGGAGAGATATTCTCGAGATGAAAGGAAGAAAATGGACGCGGACCCTCGCGTGTTAGCTTCCAACTGCGAGAGAATATACTTTTTTCCGGAGTAACCCCATCCAGCGAGCCACTTGGCCGTGTGCTACGGTGAGAAACGACAAGCGCGCCGCCCGAACCCGGCGTTAAATTGCGGCACAAAAGGCGAAGTAATCGGTCGCCTGCCGCGCAAGAACTTTTGCAAAACATCTCACCTAGCGCGTAATAATGGGTAGCTCTCTGGGATTGTGATGTTGCCGGAGACAGGCATGACTGATGGAGAGTGAAACGGCGTTGGGAAGTTTATTGGCGAGGAAATTATCCTTTTACCCAAGAGGAAAAGAAATGTTAGCAAAATGTCAACTTCGGTTAAAACACCGATATCTCAATTTTGACTTTAATGGGGGGAAAAACGAATGTAACAAGCACGGAGGCACGCACGGCTACATTTATATATAACATTTGCTCGGCATAGCACTTTGTTTTGGCAGTTTCAACCAAATCATTATCGATAGCCTAAAAAGGAAAAAAAGTAACACCATCAACATGTTGAAGCCGGCCGTTATAAAAAAAAAATGTATTTTGTATGAACGCGCGACAGTAGATTGACGTTATTGTGCACTGTTCGTGCCACCGATTATATGCAACATAATGTGCCTTTAAGAGCAAAAGCCCATTTTGTAGGAAAAGAAAAAGAACACTTAATTAAAAACTCAGTGAAATTATGAATCCTGCTCCAAATTCCAAATCTTTCAGTATCGGCGTGAACCGGTAATCCAATCTACGCGCCTAGTTGGCCTGCATATTTTTTTATCATGAAAATAAAAATGATGTTCTGGGGGAGATCAGCAAAATGAAGGGTAAATAATCGCTCCTTCTGTCATACTTTTTTCAAGTCGGATCCACTTGCGGAAGAAAAAAAATTATATTCCTGAAAAAAATCTATTATCTCCAACGGGATATATGAATGACTTCTTTGTCAAAATGAGACAAACTATAATTGAAACCTGTTTTAGATAATTAAAGTTCTTTTGATACTGCGTTCGTCCAGCTAATTTCGCATGCAAAGTTAACTCTCGATAACTGAATTTATGGAAACACTTAACGAGCACAAAGAGCTTGTGTTCCCCCAAAAATATCTTCGAAGGCTCAACAATAACGAGTTATTAACTTTAATTCCCAAATATGTGTTTGCCCTGAACGGAAACAGGGCGGAGAAGGGAAAAATTAAGCCGGAGCACCCACAGGAACGTCAAGGAGAAAGTACGAGAAGTGTTGATGGAGCGGTGATGTCAGGGGACCCCTCGCCGGTATGACACGGGGGAGAGCGTTCATCAGCGCCCGCTGATTTCTCAAACCCCGGGGTTTTGGCAGAATGTATTATCTGCGTATATCTCTCAGCGGACCGGGCCGCGCGTCCGATACGCCCGCTGATTGAAGCCACTTTCGGCGGCAAGGTTACGGCGGCGGACCGACCGCAGAAAGCTACCGGGGGATGGAGTGGTTGTCAACGGACAGATTGATGGGGATCTCTATTGATTTTGACAGGAAGGAATGACAGTCATTTTCTTCAAGACCATCTACATGTACATGTATGCAATCGGCCATGGACCGATGATCACTTTTCTTAAAACTTCCACAAGTTAGTCTATATGCAACAATATCTTCACTTGGTTGTGCACGGGGTTTGTGGTTTATTTACAAACCTTAAATATAAGTAGGGATCTGAAAGTGAAACAACTAGAGATGTAGATTCGACGTTTCAGTCAATTCTCACTGATTGTCATCCGAAGAAATCGTTGTGAGGCCAAACTCTATGTTTAGGCTGTATTAGCCTATACTTTTTTATTCAGCTGTACATTAAAAAAAAAAAAAAATTTTTTTGAAAAATCAATTGGACCCATGTTGGTTTTCATCATGTCATTATACTAACTTCAGTGTACCTCTCTATGATGTTCATATGTATAAGTGTTTTAGTCTTTTAGAATTGGGTCGTTGGCATGAATTTCGTTTTACTTAGGTACATTGAGGGAAGCATTAATAACTGTATCTCTGCTACCTCACGCTGAAAAAAAAATGTCAGGTTGTGCACCCTAAAATCCTACAATGCCTAGGCCTATACTTTGGCACTTTGAAAACTTTAAAAACCTACATTTTGATTTTCAAAACTTCTTTAAAAAATGATGAAGAGGGGCACAGTGAGGCCTGTGTACTTCTTTTCCTTTGATAAGGACAATGTACCTACGTGGAACTGTGCATATAACCAGATCAATCAATAATGTGATATTGTTTTTCCCTCTTGAGACTACCATAAATCTCTCAACGAATGACAAGATAATTATTTTCAAATCAACGCCGCTCATCGCCTCATTATCTAAATTCGTTGCTTGATTGCTCCTTCAAAATATATTTTAATTTCTACGCTCGGTCCGGCCAGGTTCAAGGGCAGACGTGAAAGTAATTACAGATCGACCGCCCGGAAATGCCAAATAAAAGCCCACAGCTAGAATGTTCACTTACAGACTCCAACCGCATTTCTAGGTATCGCTTTTCAATTTCTGCATCTGTTTCGACACTCGAGTATACAGTGGCCTGCCTAAAGTCATATAATGGTGGAACATGGGTGGTCTGAAGTGCTCAGGTTTTTTACGGTCCAAGTGGGACTTTTTGACAGCTTCCACAAATTCTTCAAGTTGAAGTTTCCGTCACACGTTCCCTCCCAGCGACTGATACTGTTCCAAGTTAGCTGCATTGTGCACAAAGTACCATAGGAAAGAGTATTACCTAATCAAAATGGCATTCACCATAGTCTATGGCAACTGGACAGAAATTTGAAGTAAATAAAAAAGGTTGACTAGTGGCTTCAAATTGAACTTCTTACATATCCTATAATTATACTTCAATTATATTTCTTATACAGTTATCCTCCCCAGTCAGTCATGTGTTTTTGGGCTGGGAACCTTGGCAAAAACCTCGCTAATTCCTTGTACATTCTTATATGCTGCCTAATGTATTGTACACACAAGCAGGCTTATAAAATGGCGGCCGGACTATACTTTCTGAACCAGCAAAATCTTCCAAAACCTCCTGGTGGGTTTTGAAGAGCCTGGAAGAGTTACTGTCAGTGGCTCTTATACATCTATGAAAGGCTATGGGCTCCGTGTGCCAACAGAGAGAACGCGTTTTTACCTATTTTGAGAGCTCCGTAGCATCAGCTATGGCGTCCGAGACTAATTCCCGCCTCCAATAACTTTGGATACTTTAGAAATGCGCAGTGGATGGATCGGGAACCAGTCTAGGTCACCCCAACTCTCCTTTTCTGGCCGTTGGTGGGGTACTTGTGCACGGAGCCTATACCAGAGTTTGACTGTCGAAGTCAAGGTTGGGGAACTCGACTACACGATCTGTCCTCTCTGGCTGACCACAGCCAAAGCAAATGACACATTCCATGTTTTGATGTCGTATCCCCTAGAGTTCGTCTACAGGAGCACAATCTCTGTTTCAGAACCAGAACCATCGTGGAACGGTAGGCCTATCTGCAAACACTTCAAACAAATCACTCGTTTCCTCGCTCGTATGTGCATGCGCGCGCCTGCGCACTTCAACATAGCGCAACCTCAGCACAGGAACAAGAACTAGTGTGGACTTATACCCAGAGTGCAGATGCTCGCGCGTGCGTGCTTTCTTATCAGACAAGCTCAACACGGGAGCTGTCAATATCGACAGGTACTGACAAAGAAAAAAATTACAAACCACCTGGGCTGTCAAATACTTACCGTTGTCAAGAACATGCCCGAAGATAGGAAATGAGTCGACGGTGGTGCAGTTCCAGCGCCGGTTACCGAACTGCTCCTGGCACTCTACGATAGCTCGGTACGCTCCAGTACTAACACTATCCATAACCTGCAAGCAAAAGAAAGATCATGAAAACAGGCAGATCAACCAGAGGCTAAAATTTTCAGCGGAGACATCCTCGAGAAAAATAGGGCTTTCTTGGTATTGTGGGCGTTAGCACGGTCATGTGGTAATAGACCTTTATCATGCTGCCACCATTTCAGTCATGTTCCATGTATCCAAATAAACCAATCAAAGTACTGAATGATAAGGGTTTTGTATTTGTGCAAAAGGAACCAGACTATTTTTTTCTTCCAACCTCGCTTTGGCTACGTTGATTTGAATAGGAACAAAACAAGATGGCCAACATGATAATGGTCTATTAAATGACATATGGCCCTGTGCACGGTTGAATGAAAACGAGGCTAAAATGGCAAACATAGGGTAATTGAATGGATTATTACGTAATAGCTTAGCAGCACGTAGAGCCTCGATTTCAATTATGGCGAAGCTACATTCGGCAGCCATATTTGAGACGTTTTATTTTACTTCTGTGGCAATGAATGCATAAGGAATACACATAGAACAAAATCACATCCCTCCAAGATGTTGTCAATGCAAAGGGCCTATTATATAGACATGACAACGTCCAGACAAATTTGTAGTGTTCACACATTTTAGTGTTACATTAACTCTGGTCATGACACCAAAATAAGGCAAGGGCGGATCCAGGGGGGGCAAAGGGGGCCATGCCCCCCCCCCCCCCCAAAAAAAAACCCAATTTTTTTTTTTTTAATGTGACATCGCAATAAAGGCAGGCAACGAGTACACCACCATCTTTTCCTCAAAAAAAATTGGTTGAAGTGGTCAGAAATTGCCTCAGATCGCACCACAGAGCATCTAGAATCCAAACATTTTTCGGGGCCCTTAAGCGGGCCCCGAATCCCACGCCGTAATTTTTTAGACCCACTTTTTTGGGGGACCAAAATATTTTTTGGCCCCCCCAAAAAAATTGTGTTCTGGATCCGCCCTTGAAATGAGGGTCCTTCTAAAGTGCACAGCAGGTTTCCCAAAGTCATGGAAAAATCCTGGAATTTAAAGCTGTCACGGAAAATCATGGAAAAATCATGGCCATAGAGGTGCAAGGCCAGGGAAGTAACCCCCGCCCCCATTCCTCACTGCTTTAACCCGACTCCCCTTTCCATTTTTCGGTCTAGGCTTTAGGTGTTACTATTTTTAATACCTGTATTACCTTGACAGTAATTGTTGAAAGCCCTGTTTGACCTAAAGTAAGTAGTTAGCTGCTTTTTATCTTGAATTCTCTCCAAAGGAAAGAATGTATATTTGTCGATGAAAGGTTCAGCCACAGACAGACTGGTTTTGACATGTCTCCCGCTTGAATTTCCAACTTCACGTACAGGCGCGCTCGGCACAATCAAAACGCCCTGCGTGTTACCATTGGGAGAAAAACGCCGTTACTACAAATAGATTAATCACTCCCTTCTCTATCGCGACAAGAAATAGTTTCCGGATCTCAACCTTTTGGGGGCAAAGGCTCTCCGAAGGTTGTTCACTTTCTTTTTTTAGAGTTCTTGACTGGAACGGCAGGGAATACCCTTCGGACAGCGGTGCCCCTCCCTGCTTCCTACAGGTCGTCCCGTTCACTGTTATTGATCAACTTCCTATGCAGACAAATCTTAAAGGGCATGTGTGTAAAATGTTAGTGATGTTACTAGCGACTGGAAGTCAAGTCTGTCACAAGTTCGATCTCACGTAAGGTCACATGTAACAGAGTGTGAACAATGGCATCATAATGATTGACTTGTGATGACTTGTGATGATTTGTGATCGGACTTGTGATTAGACTTGTGATTAGACTTGTGACGACTTATGATTGGATTTGTGATGACTTGTGATTGAACTCGTGCAGACTTGTGATTGGATTTGAACGACTTGTGATTGGACTTGTGATGACTTGTGAGGACTTGTGACGACATGTGATTGAACTTCTGACGACTTGTGATTGGAATTGTGGCGACTTGTGATTGGATTATGATGACTTGTGATTAGACCTATGACAACATGTGATTGTATTTGAACGACTTGTGATGTGGCTTGTGATGACTTGTGATTGGGCCCGTGAAGACTTGTGATTGGATTTTAACGACTTGTGATTGGACATGTGATTGGATTGTGATGACTTGTGATTAGATTTGTGACGACTTGTGATTGGATTTGAACGACTTGTGATTGGACTTGTGATGACTTGTGATTATCTGCCACTCTGCCATCAAGCTTACATGACTGTCTAAACCTAAGATCGCCATTCATGTTTTCAAGGATGAGTCTCAAGTAAAGTAGAACGAATTTTACAATTTTATTTCAGCTATATTATTAATTTATTAAGCCTTGTCGGATTCTGTCCATGAAGTGATTAAATTCCGGCCTCCTACAGACACTTTCTGAGTCTTTCTGACAATGAATTTCTATTGAAGATGTGCGCATGAGCGTTAACGTATGACCTTCAGTGTTACTTGCACTTGCGCAATCAACACGACCATGCGTTCCATGCGTTCCACAATGTTCATTCGATGATCTGCGATCATAAATTGTTGTATTGGTTTTTATGACCGACCCTGATTTTTTTTCAAAACATCGTAAACTCAAACGACAGGGGGAAACTTAAAAGACGTACGTTTCAAATATCTGTAATAATTCCCTCAACAACAAAAAACCCAGAGATGCGCATATTTATTTTAGGTAATGATACCGCATTTTTTTTTTTTTTGGCGAAACCAACCATCGAAATAACATATGACATGGATTGTTTTCCATCGACTAGAATAATTGAAGTTTACCTAAGGCAAATACATACTCAACGAATTATTATTGAGTTAATCACAAGTCAGTCACAAGCCAGTCATAAGCCTATCACAAGCTAATCATAACTCAATCACAAGCCAACCACAAACCAAATACAAGCCAACCCGGACCAATTATTATAATAAATCAGACGCCAAGCTATAAATCACAAGTCAATCACAAGTCAATCACAAGTCAGTCCAAAGAACAATTGAGGGAGGACAATGTACCTAAGGAATTCCTTAGTAATAGTAGTAACCATTCATTTAAATAGCTCGAGATTGGATGACTTGTGTTTGACTTGTGATTGACTTGCAATGGACTTGTGATCAGTTATTATGACATGTGACAACTTGTTTGTGATTGACGTAGGACTTACGACGAGTTGATTACAACTCTAGCTGAAGTTACACCCTTACGACTCTTCCTTGTCTGTGAATGACTTTTAGGACTCCGGATGAGTCGATAACAACTCTGAGTCACACCGTAACGACTATTCTTTCTTTGTTGTATCACTTTCTTACCTCCAGGTTCCGCTTGCATATTTGTACTTGTCTGTTGATGAGGCCAGGCAGATCTTCACAGCTTTCCTGCGAGTTGATTGTCGTGATCCCAGTGGCCTGGATATTGAAGATGGCTCTGACACAAAAAATAAAGAAGGTAGGCGTCAAACAATGTTCATAAACTTGTTCACAAAAAGAGGAATTTTAGAATATTGTATAGTTGTTAAAAAGTAAAGTGATTACTGCTGCGATTTCAACTGTTCGCGGATGTGCAGACTGCCCTCTGTTGTTGAGTCATGGCAGGCAAAAGGATAAACCCTGTCAAAATAATTGTCTAAATCAGTTCCAACTTCAGAAACCGATATCTGGCCTCGGTATTGGATGTTGGTAATTGGACCAGGTGACGTTACAGGCTAGGACCAAGGGATTTGAAATGTTGCCTGAAGCCACAATACCCAGTTATACCACTAGATGACGCTGCATAATTCGACCACCTCTGCGGGCCGATACTCGATAGACAATTTTATTTTACTCAAGTGTAAAAAAAAGGGCAAAACTTTTCAAGACTAGAAATACTGTGAATGCTGGTAATACTTACAACCATCTGTACGCGTTCCCGCACAGGATGCACGCCTGCAGTAAAACCAAAAATGAAAAAAGATTCGGATGCGAAACAAGCTCCATCCTTGCCGACTTTGAAGTTTATTTTTCCACAGTGGTGAACGCTTCAGGACCTTATCCTTCCTGTTGTGTAACTTCACATCAAATGAAAACTGCCGCTCCGTCAAAACAGCAACAGAAACACAGATCGCAATCCTGGTGTTTGTTGCCCGTAAAACTATCACTGGCTGGGTGCACGTGTTGAAGTGCGTCACGAGCCAAGAAGGACTGCCACGCGACAGCTAACCAACCTCTCCTAGATTCAAGATAACTTGTATTTGTTCCCCCCTCTTGAAGTGTTTTCGAGATTCAGTTTCTTATCATCCTTACAGGGATCAGAGGTTGAAGTTATTGCAACTCTGGTTCCTCCTCGAGTAGATATCGGAATCAACAGAAAAAAAACTTGGCAAGAATTGACGAGAACTTTTTTTTTCATGGGATGTGTGACCCTTGGCCGGCCGTTGGGCTCTTTGCTGTCAGAGCAAAGAAAGAAAAAATCTGCTCCTTGTTTTAGGCACTTCCTGTTCTGATTTTCCCGGGCAAAATTAATAATTCCACGAACTCGTCTGTTGCTTGAGGATGTACATGTAGGTGCACTCCTTGTGCGCTCCTTTTATCGCAGTGGAGAACTCGGTGATGAAATGCAGACGGTAATCCGCGGTGATACCCTTTTCCGTGTCGAGTCGGAAACGACCGTGATTCCTCAACTTGCTGGGCGGTGAAGTTGCTGTATTTGACCGGGGACGTCACTTTGTCACGCCTGCCGCGCTCACTGACGTTCCTGCTTGTTTCAATTCCCGCTAGGGTGTCAACTTACTAATCAGAGAAACTTGTGCGATGAGATGACGCAGTGATGACCATGCACGACACCGAATCTCGCACTCAATGCAAAACATCCACGCTGTCCAAAAATTTGTAAAAGGCCTCCCAGGTTCAGCAGTACCGTTCTATCAGCAGCCTTTCCGGAGACTTCCAAGTTCCAGCGCTGCTCTCCAACGTCAAAGCTGATCAAAAACCCAGGGCTTGTAAAACTGTCTGGTCTCTGTCGTATATCTCCTCCCAACCAGGCCCAGCTTCCTTCTGGTAGTCGCTTGCTGTAGACGACACCAAAGCCTCACTCAAGAGCAAAAAAAAAATATCGCACGAACACGTCACCGGTCCTGCCTGTCTTGCTCTATGGTCTCACCAATTCATTGGAGGGTTTTTATTGCCCCCGTTGCAATCGAATTAGCCGACCGGCCTCATAAAACCGATAGGACCGCCTCTGTTGTGAGTTGGCAGCGGGGCTGTCTTATAAAAAAAACTTCTACCGCTAGTTTGCCTCTTTTCAATTTTTATTTCCCACTTTTTTTTTAAGAGCCGGAACAATCAACCCAAAACAACCCAATAAAACAGGCAATGGGAAATGCTTCGCATTGGGGTGACTGTCCGGACACTTGAAACTTCGGAGAGGGTCCTGTTTTTCTTTTTGGTCCGGGTTTTTGAGGGAGCAAGAACGGATGAGGCTGCCGTTGTTTTCTGGACAATAGGGGGACAGGGGATGAAAGAGCACCGCCGGTGACTCACTTCAGAGGAAATGAGGTTGTCAAGGAGGAGAATAGGAGGTGAAGGATTAGCAACATGGGATTATGAGGAAAATGGGATAATTAATCACTGGGGATCAATGTTTGATGAAGTTAACGGTGGATCACAGGACTTCACTATCTGACTTAAGGATCGACGTGGTGGGCTCAGACTTGAAAAGAAAAAATACGGAACAAAAATATCAAAAAGGTTTAGCTGCATGTGCAGCATCGTTGAAGTAAACCTGAATTCACTGTGTTTTTTTCGACAGAAAAGTCTCTTGTATCGCAAGGAATCACAAGACATTTCTTTACTAGAGAGAGAAGTTTGATGATCATATATTTCACCCAACGTTTCAACCGCTCCTAGGATGTTACCTCTGCATCTATATCAAAATCTTCTGCAAAAAAATTATATCTTACGAGATAAAATCTACTTTACTAAATCAATGAATTTCATTTTTTTTTCCAAATGAGGACCATTTTTACACAGAAACTACAATCCATATACCGAGATATAGATATTTCTTGGTGTAGGCATTTCCATGGAAAAACCAGTGCCCTAAGCGGATGATTTCAATCACAATTTTCTTTGATAATTTAGATATTGTAATTTTTCCAAAATGGCCGCTTGTTAGAATTCACGAAGTACCAGGCAAGCCCACAGTTTAACAAGTGTTTCCAGTTTGGTTACCACCTTAGTTTCTTCAATCATCACCATCAGTTGCATAATCGATCATTCTTCCGAATTAAAAAAAAAACCTGAAAATTGTTTTCTTCGTTGATGACAGATCTCCAACCTCTTAACACGGGAAACAAGACTTTCTTTTTCCTTGGTCTCTGCTCTTTTTTCCCCTAGCGGCTCCTTGTGAAAAGCCCCGCCCACTGAAAGAATTAGTCTCCTTTACAAGGGTGTCGGTGACACAGCGCACGGCTCGCTCTTGCATATTAGCCATTGATACTGGTTCCCTGGGGAGACCTGTAGACGGCTCGGGGTTTTTTTTCAATTCGGAGTATACGGCTGTTCATTCCAACTGCATGAGTCGTGCATGTGTTGTGTCGTGTTATGGCTCAGCTGATTCCATGGGATATGAGAAGGTCAGATCGTTCTTCGGTCAGACAAGTATCGTCAGCAATGTCAAGTCAAAAACAGTAATCAATTGCATGGCGTTGATATTAAAGGTAATTTACAACATTTTGCTTCTTCCTGTAATTTTCAGAAATGGAAAGATTTATAAAGTGATGTGAGTGATTGGATCCTGAAACTTGGTGGATACTTAGTCCGTGGATTTGCCAGTTAGTACTTCTTTGGCTTTGAACCGTAACCCTCACGGATCTTTAATTTTCAGAAATGGATGGATGTGAGGCTAATATTTTAAAGCAAATATTGTTACACTGACCTGTTTAAAGTGTTCATAGATGCTGGAAGAACCAAGACAAAATTTTGATCTTGGAGTCTGGTACCCTTACTCTACTTCATTCAGACGAAACGGAGCAATTTATAGACGTCACGGGGGAATTGAAGGGCAGGGAACCAGACTAGCTGGCTTGCACTTGTTCACGGATTTGTAACCGATTGCAAACAAAAGGTGGACTAACTAAATTTGGTAAACTTGGGCAGTATTTGAAAAAAATCCGTTTCTTCGAACGATGGTCGGCTGACCATCGATGAAGATTGATACAGTTCCACCTTGAAGATGACATCATCAAAATGAGGCGCGTGCATTCCCGCAATCTTATTGGTCGCAGCATTGAGCACGCGCGCGCGTATGACCTGCGCGCGTGCGTGGTAATACCTCAGATATGGCTTTTCACTGAAGTCGCCAGATTGAGTCGGAAAAGGCCTTGGTTTTACATTGTGTTTTCTTCTTTTTTATATTGCTCCTCCCCTTTCTTAACCATTCTTGACTTTTCCACAACCTCGGAGAAGCGAGGTTTCAGCATCTAAGGGAACCATTTCCGCTGTGGAGTATTTTTCTATTTATATTTAAACTTTAAAGTGAACAAAATCCCTCCTCAATTTTATAAACCACAAACTCATTTTCGCGTTGATCAAACGTCACTCATCGCTTGATTCCCAATCGACCTGACCCGAGACCATATTGGATTCCACTCAACTGCAATGGCTCATTTTATTAGGCATTTTACCGCAACCAGATTGTCTTCCGATGGTAAAACTCTGCTTTTCCTTTATAATCGGTGGTCAAAACTACTTTAAAAAAGGGAAAATATGGTTATGGGACCTCACACAGCCAGTTCAAAGGCCAAAAACTGTTGCTGCAGTTACCACTGATTTGTATATATTTCCAGGAACGACGCTCTGTCGTTTAAAATTAAAAAAGAAATCATCTGATTGGTCACTGACTTTGATGTTGTTGTGCTAGGATCGAACACGATTGAACCAAACTATGTAGGCCTACTCAAGTTTAATATTTAACGTGAGTATGGACGTCGTCTTGTCGATTGAAGTATCGACAGTATGCTGTTGTTAAGGGACATGAATGTAAAATATATATTGACCACTTTTCGTTTAAAGCTGAAATTTGTGGTGAAAAATCGATTATGTTTCATTTTATCGCTCCGCCAAATGTTTAATACATGATTATAATGAAATTGCGAAAAGAACGTGGAGTTGCCATATTGTTTGATACTTTTACGGTGCATACTTTACAATGCGAATGTTTTTATACGATATCAAACTTGAATTTTATTGTCATCCATGCACACTTTTCGTCAAGGACAGTTAGGAGGATCGTAAACTGTCCACACCAGAGAATACTGACAATTGAGATTATACAACGCCAGAATAAATCCCTGTCATCTGATTGGTAGGTCATTGATCACATGCCATTGAATTATTCGTCCCAACCCACGGCTCGGCAGCACCGTAGAAGTTCTATATATTCCACAGTAAATAGAAGTTGTATTGCACGGTCACACGATTGGTGACTCTGACCAATCAGATGACGAGGATTTATTCAGGTGTAGTAGAAAACAAACAATGAATGTTTCACATTCGTACAATGGAAAGAATAATTTCATTCTGTGACAGGTGGAATGGAACATACATCTGTCGCCTCGTGCAATTATTCTTACCATTGCACTCATAAACATTCATTATTTGTATACTGTCAAGCTCCTATAAAACTGATCCCATAGCGCACAGAATTCTATTCAATTGATTCAAAACGAATGTAAGTCAGTATTTTTAATTTCGTGCTCTACTCAGTGGGCCGAATTTAGCCCATTGACGTTACGGGTGACCCTATACGATAGCACCGCCCGGCTTATCGGACAGTCAGGAGTCAGTGAGTCGATCGGTGAGATGTAGGTACATAATGAAGGACACTGGAATGGCCCTTTATAAGAATAGCAAACACGTACAAAACTAAGAAGAAACTTTACTTTGAAAAGTAGAGTCCATTTTCCCAAGAGGCGACCATCAATGAGACTATAGCGCACGTAGCGCGGATATAGTGACGGCATGAACGCCTCGTAAAGTGCACGGGAAAGCCTTCTTACGCTCGCAGCGCTGTCTTATTTTCGGCTCACGGCGCTGAAATTGTTGAAATAACTCTCACCTTTTTTACGGCCGTGATTTTTAGGTCAGCCTATATCGGTCACTGTATGGGTTGTCTTTCGGACATGGTAAAATGGGGTCATCGTATAGTCCTTAATGTTTTTTGAAGGTCAGTGGCTTGGGAAACAAAACTTGGCTAAAGGTTTACCAGTTTATGAACAAGGGCTATCCAACATTTAATTCCCAAAAGTAACCTACCGAATTATTATCAAAAATTTTAATTGGATTAAAGATCGCAGTGGTGCTAAGAACCCTGTGAAATTATTCCGTCTGATGGCTTGCTGTCATTTAGAAGACCTCGAGAAATGTATATGTAATTTCCAACGATCAGTCAGTTGGGTGATTTCTGGAATAAAGAGTGCTATATTGACGAAATCGTGTTTCGTGATCAAAAGGTTGTGCATGGTTTTCCACTGTTTTCTCGAAAAGTGTCCTACATCTCCAATTCTGAAACTATTTTTTTTTAAATTCAAATAAACAACAAAGGGACACTTACCACGTGTATAGTATAATAATAAAAGTTCACCAAGAAATTGACTGGAGCCATGTTTGAACCTGCGACCTCCAGATTGCCGTTCCGGTGCTCTATCTACTGAGCTTCCTCATTGTGTCAATATCTATGTTCAATATCTTTGTTCAAGGGGCGCTAGTCGGACTCGGAAAAGCCGTATAAACCTGATGACATGAAGCAAGGGATCACTCCAAAAGTCACCATGTACAGGGTGAGTCAAAAAAAAGCGAAACCCAAATGTCGGGACTATTGGTGAAATGAAGTTCTGCATGTAGCACTTTGAAAATCTAGGATATGGAAGCCCAAATCATAAGCTTTCTTTAAGGACAAGAATCATTCACATCACTCAAACCACTCATGTACTTTTCAAGTTACGGAATTTTAAACACACCCTCCGTTTTAAATTTCTGTCCACGGATCACAAAAAAAAGATGTGCGTTCTTTCAGCAAAACGAAAACAATTCACGCACATCCCTATGTGATTTGTTTTCGTTTTGTTTACCTTTTTGTGATCCATGGACAGAACTTTAAAACGGTGGTTGTGTTTAAAATTCCGTAACTTGAAAAGTACATGAGTGATTTGAATGGTTCTTGTACTAAAAGAAAGCTTATGAATTGGGCTTACGTATCCTAGATTTGGAAAGGGCTACATGCAGAACTTCACTAAAACAATGGTCCCAACATTCGGGTTTCGCTTTTTTTGACTCACCCAGTATAGCAACATTATCAATGCAGCAAACCTGGGAAATAACACATTCTCCTATTTGGTTTCTTCATGCTTCCGATCTGAGCCTTTTTTGAGATTACGGAAACTTTTGAGATTACGGAAACCCTTGCCTCATTACCTGGGAATAACTGAAAGTCGTCTGACTTTCTCAACAACGGTTTCTTCTCTTT